TGAAGGAAAAATTAAAATACAGACAAAGGCACTATACATTCCCATAAAAGGGAAACAAAACACAATAAAAATGCTCTCACTAGATGTAAGTAATATAGTAAAGTAGTATAAATAAATTATGGAATTAGGCATCACATTCCACATTTCCCTCAAAGGTAATATATTAACACACAAAAAAAAAAAATCGGATGTAAATAATCTTAGCAACATGCACTGATATTCTAAAAACTTATTTCTATGAATAATTGGTAATCATAAATGTTTGTGGGAGCAGCCATGTTCGCTCATTATGTAGACATGCTTGGCTTACTGCTTTGCAGCTACTTTTTTCAAGTTCTGCAGTGCAGTTTGCACATTTGAAATTAACATAATGGTTGAGTTTTACTTTTCCTTCTCACAAAGATAGTCTGAGTCAACTAACTAATTGAAAACAATAACAGTGAAAAATAGGTTTGCGCTCATATACTCCAACGCATTTCATCACCAGACTTCCTCACGGAACACTGAATTTTTTATAAATTTATTCTCATTTAAAGACACAACAAGAAAAGGAATATTTGTCACTGGTGTTTTTGGACTTTATTTGAAACACATTATGTTTATGGTTTTTTGTTTTTACAATTTGGATATTATGTTTTTATTTAGCACTGTAGATGAGATTTCATTTGGAGTATATGAGCGCAAACCTATTTTTCACTGTTATATCCACCTTTTCGGGTTAGGTTTTGCAGCCATACATATTGTTCATAATTTTATCACTGTGGATGTTTAGAGCTATTCTTATTATTTCCGAAGTAATTGAAAACAATGCCTTGTATGCTCAGCCTATAATCAATAGAGAGAGAACCACAATTTCCTCCCTTTAGCAATTGTTGAGATAGCACTTCATCAACGCAATGAGGCTGATTTACTAATGAAGTTGGGAATTTTTAGTGGAAAATATTGAGTGAATATTTATTTCATGTATCAAATCATGTGAAAAGCATCTGCACATAATTGGGTTTTCAAAGTGATCTGGAATTTGTTTTTCACAAGATTGGATTCTGAAATGCTATTTCAATAGGTTGTTTTGTATTTATGTTTCTCCTATTACAGTCAGAGTTACTTTTTTTTTTAAATAAACATAACATTTTTTTCAAAGATAAATCTGAAATATTGCACATTCATTTTTTGTGTTCTTGTATGGAAGCAATGGGTGCAGCTTTAGGCTCCTCATCACATTTTCCTGACTCTTTTTATTTGCTTTGTTGTAAAACCTATTGTCGGTGGAGCTCAGTGGCTGACACAGAAGTGAATAAGTCAAGGCAGTAACGCATCTCTTCTTTACTGCCCCCTCACTTTATAGTGTTTTTTTTATTATTTATTTATTTTAGAACTCATGGAAATCCTGTGTCAAGGGTCAACACTGCATTACATTTTTATTTGTAAAATGATAAACATTTTTTTATTACACAAATATCTTTAAGACAAATCATCAGTTTATAAATGTAGAATAAAGGAATGACCTTGTAATTGCTCAAAGCAATTTTTTTTAAGAAATGGTTTATCTGCAACCTTCCTCTGAGGAACAGGATCAGTCATAAATATAGTGGGAATGTGAGGGTCTGAGCTTAGCTCCACATACATATCAGCCTATAGTGTGTCTGTATAACAGTACCCAGAGTCCTAAGCATCTTGTGAAAGTAAAGTCTACAGGCGTGGAAAAATCTGTATGTAAATGGATAGAAAACTGGCTAAAAGGTTGTATTCAGAGAGTAGTGGTTAATGATTCATACTCTGAATGGTCTAGGGTTGTCAGTGGTGTTCCCCAAGGTTCAATGTTGGGACCCTTACTTTTTAATATATTTATAAACAATATAGGGTCTGGGATTAAAAATACCATTTAAGTCTTTGCAGATGACACCGAGCCGTGCAGTGGAATATTGTCCTTACGTCTTCAATTTACAAGCCGACCTCAATGCCCTGTTTAATTGGGCAACTACAGTTGCAAGAAAAAGTACGTGAACCCCTTGGGATTACGTGGAGTCTTGCATGAATTGGGCATAAAATGTGCTCTGAACGTCATCTAAGTCACAAAAATAGAAGAACACAGTCTGCTGAACATAATACTACACAAACATTAGATGTTGCCATGGTTTAATTGCACATAACATGTAAACATTCACAGTGCAGGGAGGAAAAAGTATGTGAACCTTTGGACTTAACTGGTCGACCCTCCTTTGGCAGCAATAACCTCAACCAAACGTTTCCTGTAGTTGCAGATCAGACCTGCACAACGATCTGGAGTAATTTTGAACCACTCCTCTTCACAAAACTGTTTCAGTGTAGCAATATTCTTGGGATGTCTTGTGTGAGTCGCTCTCTTAAGGTCATGCCACAGCATTTCAATCGGGTTGAGGTCAGGACTCTGACTGGGCCACTCCAGAAGGCGTATTCTGTGCTGTTGCAGCCATTGTTTTGTTGAATTACTTGTATGCTTTGGGTCATTGTCCTGTTGCATCACCCATCCTCTGCCAAGCTTCAGTTGGCGGACAGATGGTTGTATGTTTTCCTGCAAAATGTCTTGATAAACTCTGGAATTCATTTTCCCATCAATGACAACAATCCGTCCAGGCCCTTAGGCAGCCCCACACCATGATGCTCCCTCCACCATGTTTTACAGTGGGGATGAGGTTTTGATGTTGGTGTGCTGTGCCTTTTTTTCTCCACACATAGTGTTGAGTGTTCTCCCCAAACAACTCAATCTTGGTTTCATCTGTCCACAGTATATTTTGCCAGTAGTGCTGTGGAACATCCAGGTGCTCTTTTGCAAACTTCAAACGTGCTGCAATATTCTTTTTGGACAGCAATGGCTTCCTCCGTGGTGTCCTCCCAGGTACTCCATTCTTGTTTAATGTTTTCCTTATTGTAGATGTGTCAACATAAATGTTAGCATGCGCCAGAGATTTCTGTAGGTCTTTAGCTGACACTCTGGGATTCTTCTTTACCTCATGCAGCATTCTGCGCTGTGCTCTTGCAGTCATTTTTACAGGACGACCACGCCTAGGGAGAGTAGCAACAGTGCTAAACTTTCTCCATTTGTAGACAGTCTGTCTTACCGTGGACTCATGAACATCAAGGCTTTTGGAGATACTTTTGTAACCCTTTCCAGCTTCATGCAAGTCAACAATTCTTGATCGTAGGTCTTCTGAGAGCGCTTTTTCTGCGAGGCATGGTTCACATCAGACAGTGCTTCTTGAAACCAGTAAACCCAAAACAGGTGTGTGTTTTTTAAGGGCAGGACAGCTGTCAGCAACACATCCAATATCATCACACTGATTGGAGTCAAGGTTGGCTCACTCCTGGCTCCAATTAGCTCTGGGAGAAGTCATTAAGCTAGGGCCTCACATACTTTTTCCTCCCTACACTGTGAATGTTTACATGTTATGTGCAATTAAACCATGGCAACATCCGTTTGTGTAGTATTATGTTCAGCATACTGTGTTCTTCTATTGTTGTGACTTAGATGATGTTCAGAGCACATTTTATGCCCAATTCATGCAAAACTCCACGTAATCCCAAGGGGTTCACATACTTTTTCCTGCAACTGTATGTGACAAATGAGGTTTAATGTGGATAAATGTAAGGTTATGCACTTGGGGGCTAAGAATATGCATGCATCATACATACAATCCTCTCTTGTATTAAAAGAGGTATAGACTCCACAGAGAGAGATATCATTCTACCCCTGTACAAATCATTAGTAAGACCTCATGTGGAATATGCAGTTCAGTTTTGGGCATCAATTCACAAAAAAAACATCGGGGAACTGGAGAAAGTACAGAGAAGGGCAACCAAACTGAAAAGAGGCATGGAGGAGCTCAGCTATGAGGAAATATTGGAGGAACTGAATTTATTCTCTCTTGAGAAGAGGAGATTAAGGGGGATGTGATCAACATGTATAAATACATCAGTGGTTTATATAGTGAACTCAGTGTAGAGCTATTCAACCTGAGGTCATCACAGAGGACAAGGGGGCACTCTTTACGTCTGGAGGAAAAGAAATTTAATCTCCAAATACGGAAAGGTTTCTTCCCAGTGAGAGCTGTGAAAATGTGGAATAGACTCCCTCAAGAGTTGGTTCTGGCCAGCTCAGTGGATTACTTTAAAAAAGGCCTGGATTATTTCCTAGATACACAGAATATAATTGGATACTAACATTTATAGGTAAAGTTGATCCAGAGAATATCTGATTGCCTCTCGGGGGATCAGAAAGGAATTTTTTTTTCCTGCAGGTGCAAATTGGATCATGCTTTGCTGGGTTTTTTTGCCTTCCTCTGGATCAAGTGTGGGTATATGATTATAACTTTTTTTTTTTTTTTAAATGGTTGAACTGGATGGACTTTTGTTTTTTTATGTTAGTATCCAGCTATATTCTGTGTATCTAAGAAAGAATCCAGGTCTTTTTTAAGGCAATCCACTGAGCTGGCCAGAACCAACTCTTGAGGAAGTCATTCCACATTTTCACAGCTCTCACTTTGAAGAAAAACTTTCCATGTTTGGAAATTAAATTTCTTTTCCTCCAGATGTAAAGAGTACCCCCTTGTCCTCTGTGATGACCTCAGGGTGAATAGCTCTACACCCAGTTCACTATATGAGCCACTGATGTATTTATACATGTTGATCATATCCCCCCTTAATCTCCTCTTTTCAAGAGAGAATAAATTCAGTGCCTCTATTCTTTCCTCATAGCTGAGGTCCTCCATGTCTTTTATTAGTTTGGTTGCCCTTACATGTACAACCCCGTCTGACTGCAGTAATAGAATTAGCTGGGTGGTAAAGCCAATGCTCAAACATCTATTTTACCACCCTTTGGCGGCCCATGTAAAAGAGCCCATACTGTTTTAGAGAGTAAACTGTAGGTCTTATCCATATGCAAAAATGTGTGTGATAGAAATCTGAATAATTTTACAATAACTGAATTGTGCTGAACTGTGACCTTATTATACCCATATTAATACACATTACTTACGCTGTGAACGGTTACCAAGGCAAGAACTGAACATGCATCTGCAAAAACAACAGACGATGGAGCCAACTAGTAATAAGAAGAGCGTAATACCAATTCCAATGACCACATAGAGGCTGAAAAAGAAACGCAAAACATTTTAAAAAAAAAATTACAGTGAAAATAATAGACATGCAAAAAGATGTTTTTTAGAGATATGATACCATAAAAATATAGAGCTTTTTGCCTTACCATTGAGCTGTACTCAGGCTGTAGAACAAAGCATCTGAATTGGACAAATTCTTCGATCCTTTGAACAGTACTCAGCAGAACAGCCAAGCTAACCTGCACACAGTGGGATTAATGCCTACAGTATGGAATGAAGATGGGGTGGGACCTCTGCAGCTCCAATGAGGTCCCACCCCAGGCAGGGGGAGCCCTGAACAACGCTTAATGGTTGTCAACAAAAGCCCTATATCTTGTTTAGGTACTGATTTGTTCTGTAAAAGGCACTGAGCCCTAAAACAGATGTTTGGCAATTAATAAGCGAATACAAAATCGACACCCTGCTTTGAACAGCTATTAAATGTGCACATACAGTGAGTTCACTTCGCCAAGACTGCATAGGTTAAATGTTCATTTGGCCGGGGGGGGGGGTAGGTATATCGTGAAATACTTACAGTTGTGCTCAAAAGTTTTCATACCCTGACAGAAATCGTGAAATTTTGTTACGGATATTGAAAATATGACTGATCATGCCGAAAAAAAACTGTCTTTTATTTAAGGATAGTGATAATACGAAGCCATTTTTTTTTTTTTTTTTTTAAGTATCTTCATATTGTGCTATTTGAAACAAACACACCATCTTTTTCCAGAGCAGCCTGTATTTCTCCTAAGGTTACCTGTGAGTTTTTCTTTGTATACCGAACAATTCTTCTGGCAGTTGTGGCTGTAATCTTTCTTAGTCTACTTGACCTTGACTTAGTAGCAGAAGATTCACAAATTTTCCACTTCTTAATAAGTGACTGAACAGTAATGACTGACATAGTTAAGATCTTTTATATCCTTTTCCATCTTTATAGAGTTCCATTACTTTGTTACACAGTTCTTTTGACAGTTTTTTTCTGCTCCCCATAGGTCAGTATCTAGTCTGCCCAATGCATTCATGTTCAGAACTCACTGACTATTTATAAATAGACAATGCAATTTAACCTCTTGCCGCCCAGCCACTGCATTAAAACGGTGGCAGGGCAGCACGGCTGCGCAAAAGCACGTTTTTAAACGTGTTCCACGCTCCCAAGGCTTTCGCGGGGGGGGGGGGGGGCGCGCACCCCCAGCCGACCCGCGGCTCTCACCATTTGATCCCCGAAGGATCAATCATTCGGTTTCAGCCAGTGTTGTCCGGATGAAATCAGATGATCGGTCCCTGTCCTATCCTGTCCTGTGTTGACAGTTACACAAAACAGGATATGATGTCCATCAAACCCGCCCCGCAGGCCTGAGTACTTGGTGTCATTCTGGACTCCAACCTATCCTTCCAGCCCCAAGTCCAATCTTTAACAAACTCGTGCAGACTCCACCTCCGCAACATCGCCAAAATACGCTAACCCCAGAAACCATTAAACAGCTCATCCGCTCCCTCATCATATCACGACTCGACTACTGCAACTCCCTCCTCACTGGCCTGCCTCGCCGCTGGCTATCCCCGCTTCAGTCGATCCTGAATACGGCTGCCAGACTCATTCACCTTTCCAACCTCTCCATCTCCGCCACCTGCCAATCCCTCCACTGGCTTCCGATTGCGCAACGGATCAAATTCAAAATCCTAACACTGATGTACAAAGCTGTCCACCACACTGCCCCGTACTACATCACCTGACCTAATATCCAAGTACCCGCCCAGCATGCACACTCCACTCCTCACAAGACCTCCATCTCTCTAGTTCCCTGGTCTCCTCCTCCCATGCCCACCTCCAGGACTTCTCCAGGGTGTCACCCATCCTCTGGAACTCCCTACCCCAACCCATCAGATTATCACCTACTCTCCTCTCATTTAGGCGCACCCTGAAAACCTATCTCTTCAGGGAAGCATACCCCACCCCCTGCTAACCTGCCGACCTCCTCACTCTGCCTACCACTCCATCCCCCACAGCTATCTCCTCCTGTGCCACTATCCTCTGCCTCCTAGATTGTAAGCTCGAAAGAGCAGGGCCCTCAATCCCCTCATGTTTTGCATTGTATTGGTATTGTTCTGTCACATGTTCTGTCCCCCTTTGTAACGTACAGCGCTGAGCGAACCACTGGCGCTTTATAAATACTGTATAATAATAATAATGATGTCATTCTTCTCTGCCTGGGCACATTCTGTGCCAGAGAGAGAAGAAGACACAGTAAAAGTGAGTAAAACACTACACATTTACAGTTAGAACACACCTAGGTTACATTTAACCCCCTGATCGCCCCCCCCCCCAGTTAACCCCTTCACTACCCTGTCACCAGTGTCATTGATTACAGTGAACAGATATTTTTAATGATCACTGTATTAGTGTCACTGGTGACTTCCAATAGTGTTAGCGTCAGTTAGCGCCCCTCCCAGATAGCGTCAGATTACACAAGTAATCACATTTGACCCCTTGATTGCCAGAAACACGCTCACTTGCACGCTAAACCTCCATTGCTAGTATAGTGTCTGATTGGATCAATATCTTTGATCAGATCAGCACTATACCAGCGTTCACATTATTATAGTATCCCCGAAAATGCAGCGTTAGTGGGATCAGCCCCCGACACCTGCCAGCACCTGCGTTTAGCCCCTACGCCCCCCCTTCTCCCCCAGCAAGTGCAGTGTCAGTAGATAACTGTCACTTGATACATTAAACCGCAGTGTTCACAGAATCAGGCCTGATCTCTGTTAGCACTTGTCAGTAAATTTTTTGTAGCGGTTCAAGCAGTCCCTGACAGCCAGGCGCTCTTTTTCCTGTGAGTCGCACTAGGTACCTATAAATTTAGTGGCCAAAATGTCCAAGCAAAGGTACACTAGTGAAGAGGCCTACAGGATTCTGAGCATGTCAGGTGAGAGCTAAGGGGAAGACTCCCTGACAGAATCAGGCTCAGAATACGAACCTATAGACAGCAGCGGCACCCTGACAGATAGCTCAGACGACAGAGAAGAGGTCCCTGCTAAGATCAGGCGTACCCGACCCCATTCCCAGGTTGCTGAGGTGGTACAAACGCATGATGACTCTCATATGCAGCAGAGTGCCAGTACTAGTGCCGCACTACCTTTTGGTGAACTGGCGAGCACCAGCGGCCTAGTCCATCCTGGTCTTATACATACCAGCACTGCAGTATCACTTGGTGACGTGGCGAGTCCCATAAGTGCAGTACAAGCTGGTGCGGTGGCGAGCACACGTAGTGTCCCGCGGCCACCAAGAATTTGCAGACAGGCCCGTAGAGCCCCTAGTATCCTTCCGGATGTGCTTGGAAATCCCAATTAGCAGCCCACAAATTCTGATGCACACTTCCCCCATTCACTGCCCAACCCGGAATTCAGGTGGAAACAGCAAATTTAAATACTCTCGTTGATTTTTTTTTTAGCTGTTTTTCACAGATGATCTTTATGCCTTGATTGTGGATCAAAGCAATTTATATGCACGACAATTTATCGCCGCCAACCCAAATTCAAACCTTGCCAGACCAATCGCATGGAAACCCATTACGGTTTCCAAATTTAACGTTTTTTTGGGCCTAACCCTCAACATGGGCATTAATAAAAAAAATCAATTGCGGTTGTATTGGTCCACAGACCCGCTTGTTCACATGTCCATGTTCTCTGCTGCCATGGTCAGGCATAGATATGAGACAATAATGCATTTTATGCACTTCAACGACAACACACTCAGTCGTCTTCGGGGTGACCCTGAATTTGACCGGCTCCACAAAATTCGGTCCCTCGTAATCACTTTAACCAAAAATTTGCCCAAAATTTAACCAAATTTAACCAAAATACATTCTGCTACTTCATCCAAGTATGGGGGTACCACATGTGAGAGACATTTTGGCAGTCTAGCCAAGTACAGTACCCCAAAATCCAATAAGCACCTTCAGGCTTTTACAGGGCTTTATTTCCTCATTACACTTCCTGACTACCTATCACATTGTCAGAGGCCCTGGAATGCCAGAATAGCACCAACCCCCCCCCCCCCCCAAATGACCAATTTTTGGAAAGTAGACACCCCAAGGAATGTGATAAGAAGCATGATGAGTATTTTTCAGATCTCGTTTGTTGCCACAAGTTTTTGGAAAATGAAGAAAGAAAACAAAAACATTTTTTCTTAAATTTTTTTTATATTTCAAAACCTTGTGAAAAAAAATGAGATCTGCAAAATACTTACTATGCCTCTTTTTAAATTGATTGGCGTGTCTACTTTCCAAAAAGGGGTCATTTGGGGGGGGGGGGGGGGGGGGTGGGGGGGGGGGGGGGGGGGGGGGGGGGGGGGGGGTTGGTGCTATCCTGGCATGTCAGGGCCTTCAAAACCGTGATAGGCAGTGAGGAAGTGAAATGAAGAAGTTACGCACCTTCAGGCTTTCAAAGTGGTCATTGGATTTCAGGCTCCTGTATGTGGCTAGGCTCCCAAAAAGTCTCACACGTATGGTATCCTCATACTCGGTAGAAGTAGCAGAATGTATTTTGGGGTGTAATTCCACATATACCCATGGCTTGTGCGAGAAATAAATCATTTAAATGACAACTTTGTTTAAAAAAAAAAAAAGTTTTTGTCATTTTCCAGAAACTTGTGGAAAAAAAACAAATCTTCCATGGACACAATATGCCTCTCAGCAGATAGCTTAGGGTGACTACTTTCTGAAAAGGGGTAATTTGGGGGTGTTTGTTCTATCCTGGTATTTTAGCACCTCAAGAAATGTGATGGGCAGTCAGAAAGTAAAAGCTGTGTAAATTTCAAATTATCTATACCATAGTTTGTAGATGCTATAACTTTTACACAAAGCAATCAATATACACTTATTCTGATTTTTTTTACCAAAAACATGTAGCAGAATAAATTTTGGCCTAAATTTATGACGAAATTTGAGATTTTTGGATATTTTTTATGACGGAAATGAAAAAATATTGGTT